GGGCTGGGGGCTGGGGAGTACTTCTGGAGATTTGACTTGCGTAGTAGCCGGCAAATTGAGAAGTAAAATCACGTTCTATATCAATGTTGCCAATTTCATCAGAGTTTAATAAAACTTGTTAACTTGCGTTTAAACATCATGACCATAAGATTCGCCGACAGCTTTTATCGAGACTTCAACAGCCTGAAACGATGGTGAAATATCATTGCATTTGACTCCATTACCATCATATCTACTGCTCGTCGCCGGTAAGAAATTGAATTAATGAGCATGCTAAGCACTATATCTAGTGCTGGTGCTGTAGATTGTTATAAAAGTACGACAAGCACTTCCACTCTTTGCGCAAACGAGACGCAGCAGCTGATTGCACGACTAAGCCCTACGAGCGCGAGAAACAAATGTCTTCGCTACTAAGTACCGCCTGATCAACTGATAATTCAAACTATACAATTTTGCTACGTCTTAGTTTCGTTTGCCTTGTCAATCGCATGTTGCTTTTGGTCTTTGGTTGTGCCACAACGTCGCCAACGTTTCAATAGTCGACCAGTAACACCATGACCAGGTAACGTGGTCTCTTCAGCACTATTGCTCCACTCAGTCCCCTTTGCGCTTCAATAGCTATCTTGCCATGCGATATTCAGCAAAAAAATCTTCAGATGAGCCTTCTTTACTCAGTCGGACAAACATTGATCGACTGGGAATCAAAGACCTTTGTTAATTGATGTTGGGAAATGTAATTCACGATCGGCTGGGATGATTTTTGTCAAAGTTGAATCTTAGATTTATCGTGCAGTAAATGGCATACATAAAGATAAGCAATAGAAGAGATTAAAGCAAAGTATTACAAGCTGTAATTAATCCTCTTCGATTCTGCATATCACAATGCTTTTCGACATCCACCTTGAACGTTGAGCCTTAAGCCTTAAGCCGTAAGCTGCGTTTACGGAAACAACCGTTTAGGGTCACGCGGGAACATAGAAGCCTTACGAATATTGCCCAGTCCCAGGTACAGCATGACAACTCGCTCTAAACCAATACCACCGCCACCGTGAGGAAGGGCACCAAGGCGGAACGAATCGATATAGCTGCGCAATGATTCCTGAGGCACATTAAGCTCATCCATCCGTTGCATCAAAAGCGATGCATCGTGCACGCGCTGCGCTCCAGATACGATCTCTTCGCCACGAATCATCATGTCATATGAATTGCTCCAGCGCTTATCCTTTGGGTCCGGCATCGTGTAAAAAGGTCGCACAGCCAATGGATACTTGTCCAGAATGTAAAAATCGGTGTCATACTTTTCCTTTACAAGGCGTCCCAGCCACTTCTCGTTCTCCGTACTCAGGTCCTCGTCGGGTTCCTGATCAGCACCAGCTTCCTTCAACATCTTCACACCCTCCTCGAAGTTGATAATGAGCGAAGGCTTAGAATATTTAAGTGGTTCAAAAGGGTGCTGCTCATTAATGATAGCGAGCTCGTTCGCGTATCGATCTTTAAGACCATCAAAAATGTAAATAAACAGGTCTGAAAACACTTCTAGAACCTCATGGTAGTGCTCTTTAATAGTCATCTCCAGATCAAGACCCACAAATTCGCACATATGTCGGTGCGTGTTCGAATTCTCAGCACGAAAGACGGGACCGATTTCAAATACGCGCTCCAGACCTGCAACCGCACAAGCCATCTGCTTGTACGTCTGCGGACTTTGAGCCAGTGCAGCATCTTGGTCAAAATACTTGAGCGTAAAGCAATTAGCACCGCTCTCTGACGCGCCACCTACAAGCTTGGGAGTGTGAATTTCAACAAAATTGTTCATGATAAGAAATTCTCGGAAAAGTAAGCCCACGGCAGCCTGGATGCGCATAATGCACTGGTTTGCGGGCGTTCGCAAGTCAAGCGGGCGAGTGTTCAAACGAGTCTCCAACCCAACATTCGCGAAGGTAGAGCCTTCAGCCTTAACAAGGTTGTCGGGACGGGCAGCGTCTTCGACTTGAAAGGGAAGCTCAGGTAAAGCCTTGCTAACTACGAAGAATTTTTCAATATTAAGCTCCACATCCTTTTGCGTTGTGCTAAGCACGGGGCTGGAAGCCACACTGAGCGTAACGAGCACATCAACAACAGACTCCTTAGGTAAACTGGCTGCGAACTTGATCATGGGCCGCGAGACGATGTCGCTTTCGTGTAAAATGCCCTGAATTGTGGCCGTCTGCTCGCGTAGCGTGACAAATGCAATTTTTGACTTGGCGCGCACGGCTTGTAAGTAGCCACGCACCCAAAATCTTTCGCCCTGCAACTCTGTGTTTAAATCCTTAATGCTGCAGCGAAGGGAATGATTGATACGTTACAAAGACTTTCAACCCGTGCTGCAAAGAAAAATTGCTGGCTACATACGATTTATACGCATGCTTGGGGCGCTCCTGCGACTGGATAAGCGGCATGTCACCGTATACTTCGTTTAGCGTGGGACCAGCAGCTGCCGCAGACGCTTTCTGGCGCTCTAGAATGCGCAGCTCTTTCTTAGTCAGCTTCTTTGGGGCGGGTGCGGGCGTTGGGTCAGCCATCTTTAATAATGCCTACGGGCCAAGAACATCCTGCTCGTACTTAGGAGAGACAGCTTATCTAGTTTATTTTCATCGCTCGAAGGCGATCTTGAACTGACTGAAAACTATGTATACTTTACAGGTCTTGCGCAGGCGGTTGCAATTTTCAGCACAAGCTCGAACCAGAGTGGTCACATTATTGGCCGATCCAAACGGTGATGAGAGTCTGGAGACGATATAAAGATGAATTTTTGCGTTTCTTGTGTGATTTTCACTAGTGCTACCAATGTAAACAGTCTATTCTACCTTACATGGTGAAGTGAGGTGCTGTGCTGCTTCGTTTCAATGACGTCAGGTAAAGATTTCTCGCTGCGCTTCAACATTCCAGCGTGATATAACAGCAAATTTTCCTCGAGAGCCGAAGCAGTGATGATAAGAACGTTTCATCACTTTTAGCCTGGCCAGAAATATCTCAACATTTGAGCAACAGCAAGGTATGACACGCAGTAAACTGGTCTGTATGCTCCAAATCATGCCAGACGATTAGACACCATGCGGAATATGAAGATACTCAAAGAATACGCTTAACCACCATTCCCATTTTGCCATGGGAAGGTCACCAGATTCCTGACTGCGGTTGTTAGAGTGGCTACAGGCAACGAGAGCAGCATGATTGAATACCTGTTACTTGTCGCAATTGTTAGTAGTCTTCAGAGTGAATAATTAACAGCTAGCCTCGCTGGCAAGAAGAGGCGAAGAAATCTCTGAAGCAGTGAATACTTCGATACAAGTCGCTTTGATTAAATGTCGAATAGATTGAACCGAATTACTGTTGAGATTTGGCTTTGACGTCGATAGCCTGGGTGCAAGCGAGGGTTTCGTGATTGTTAAATGCGTCAAGTCGACGGAATATCTACGTCCAAGTTTCACTCCATGTGGGATTTTGCTATCGATCGAGAAGATGGCCTCTAAAGATCTATGCATTGTTGAGCAGTGAGTTGCTAATCCTCCACTAGTGCTTGAGGCAGCATCGCCGAGATGTATGCTTGGCCACACGAACCCTTCGATGTCTTAGATCGCGTGTAAACTAAGTCTTAACATTGATGTTTTCAAATTTTTACGTTGGGCTAGCATATCCCACAAAAATTTTCTTGTCTTAATATCGAGATAGATGACCTTTTAGAAACGTCAAGCTTCTTCAACATATCGGTTTCCATCATGCGATATGAACAAAAAAGGTTATTTTAGAAAATAATGCATCAACGATAAAAATTTTCGCAGTGTCGAATGGAACTTGTGTTGTTCATTCGCCTGCTCCTTCTCGTCGTCAGCTAGAAGCAGCAGAAGTCGTTGTAGTCGCTACCGCTACGAAAAAGCATTGTTTTCGCAACATATACGCGCAAAACCGACTTGAACCACGTGACGACGAACCGTCACCGCAACGACATTAAAAAATTTCAGTCTGTAGCATCACGAAGAGCGCCATCACACGAGCTATAGTCTTACTGACAAGAATATGAGATTATTAAACATAACTAACGGCAAAGCAAGCGAAGAGCTGTCGCTGACTAGTAATTGCGACAATCATCCGCAAGTGAATACTTTGCTCGACAAAGGGATCTTATCACTAGATGGTCCTATGCAGAACGAGATGGAACAGGTGCAGGAGCAGGAAGATGTGCGCGATCAAGTCATTTGTATGATTTTCGACTTGCCCGTGTCTACACAATTTTATCAAGGCATGTTGGTAAACGAAATATAAGGACCTTGTTTATTGATAAGCTAAGAATTTTTGATGTTTGATTGCCCTTTGCATTGCAGACTTTTCTTGTGCAATCGCGTCAACTCTAGCTATGCATGGACGCATGTATCCAACGAGTTCGCACGTGTGTTTTTACTCGAATGTGTTTGGCCGTGAAAGAAAGGTCAGAATAGTACTAGAGAGGGTGGAACTTTAACCATGATACTGGCACTTTCTATGACAGTATCAAGGCTGCGACCGTTATCATCGTACTGAGGCTATCCCTTATTGTTTGTTGTCGGTCTTGTCGACATTAGATCCTGATCCCCTACGAGTCCATTTGCGAAATCAAAAAGACGACGACAATGATGTTTCAGCACGCAATTCGACTTACGACATTTGACAAAGACGAGTACACGTTTACAAGTTTTTGGGGCAATAATCGTGATAGCTGTTGTGACCTCATAACCAAGACGCGTGACCGCGTGCTTGCTGAACTACGACTTATTGCAAGAAAGTCATCGGTTCCGCGCACTTTGGCACTGCAAATGTCTCGTAATACCGAGTCACCTAATCCATCCTCGCTATCGTCCCAGGATTCTTCTGATGCCGCAAACATATCAAAAGAGAATGAAGACGAAGAGGGCAAGAAACTAGAAGAAGCAGCCTTGTGTGTGGGCGAAGACAGCAATAGCAATGCGGCTAAAGAAAAGAAATCCACTGAAGTTCATGAACCGACAAGTCCTATAATTCCGCATCGACTTAGAGTTGTGTCGGATGTGGACTCAATCGCGCCCAAGGATATTTCGATGACGCCAATTCGTGAGGAGGCCTTCTCTTTGTCGGTAGACACATTCATGCAGCTTTTCTTTTTGGACAATGCACCATTTGGGCTAGACAAATTTAATGAGCAACTGGGTTCTACTGAAATAACTGTCAACCTGTGGAAGACACCGGTGGGCGACGATGGATCTTTTGGTACGTCTCCAGACGTAGAAAAAAACCGAGGTAAAGTTGCACTGAAGCGCTGTTACGGAATAGGCAGGACTCGCTCACTTCAATTTCGAATTCCCATTGAGGCTCCGATCGGTCCAAAGTCATCTCAGGTTGATGTGGTACGTTTTGCAAAAACACTGCTTTAAGACGAGTCTTATGAAGCAATCATTAATAGCGCGATGAATTTTTCAACTGTAGCTTCAGTGCCTCAAAAAAAATGCTCGGGGGGTTTGTGTTATAGAGAGTTCTACCCGACTTGTGGATATTCCATATGGAGACTATTTTAGTGTAGAAGATCGATGGACTATCGTGCCACAGCCCTCAAATTCGAATGCTTGCAAAATATTTATAGAGATGAAGGTGCGTTGTGACAAGCAAAGATGACATAGAATTGAATAGTAATAAAATTGTTGTGTGGTATGACTGATTTAGGTGGTTTTTGGTAAATCCACATTTTGGAAAAACACGATTGAGACCCGTGCCATCAAAGATAACCGATTAAAATGGGAGAAATGGGTAGGAATGGCGAAAGCTTTTCTAAACTCAAGGAAACTAGATCAAGATGTGTGTATTCTTGAGCGTTCTCCTACATCTGATTTTTCGTCAGACAAAGCAATAGTGCAGGACGCTACAAAAATGGATCAAAGATCAGTGCAACATCGAAGCAAGCCAAATTACTGGCACCGAAATTCCGTTGGCGCAGTAATGCCATCTGAAGGGGCCCAAGTAGCCCACGTAAAAGTGTTTCCTTGGGTATTGGTTTTGCTTCTTGTACTTGTTATTCTGCGCCTGCAAATGACGCTATCCAGTATTCAGCGCACCTTGTTAGTCAGTACTGAGCGGATCAGTGACCTTTACACAAAGATCAATGACCTACAAACGCGTTCATGTTTGGCAACGTAAAAGCTCTCCACTAAGTATTTTTCTAATATATCTTGTGACTTAATTGCTTGTGTCGGTAGCATTAAACCACATTGTGTGAAAGTTAACGCGTTTCTGCAATTTATGAAGAACCTGATTTGCCTGAAGGTCTGTGTCGTGTTGCATGGAGCGGTGTATTGATATAAGTTGTTCTTGCCGAGACGTTTGAGCCTGACTTTCTGAAACTATGTGCTCGATCGGGCTTTGTTTAAGCTCATTACGCATAAGACGCAGTAGACGCTGCAATGCACGCAATTGAGAAATCTGGAGCGGATTGCGCATCACGTACACATCCGACGGTAGTTTTGCGATCATTCTGCTCATCTCGTAAAGCATCAATTCGTGAGACCTTAAAGAGATATCAATGATTGAAAATGTTGGTCGAATCATAGATTTAACAGCCACAAATGATTCATAATTCGCAAACCACGACACCAAATTTGATCCTGATGAAAGAAAGAGCAGTGATTCTGGAATGAATTTTTAACCAAAACAAGATTTAGCGTGCCGTTATCCAAAAAGAACCAGTCTAACAACTTCCAGTACGTACCTTTCGAGCAGCTTTTATTGTCCCAAGCTCCATTATGCAGCTCTCTTCCAGCTGCTAGCACATCATCAGGATAGATTCTAATAGGTGCGATAGCAACAGCAGCCACGTTTGACCGCAAGTCATGATCCCCTTGAGGTGGACCCCAGTGAAGCCACAGTGTTAACTCTAGCGGCTTTCGCTGCCGCAAAAAGGTAAATTTTGGTTCAAAGTGCAGCTTGAGATTGAACCGGGCTGTTTGATCTGCCATTTCGCCGCCAGATGAGAGTTTTGAAAATATTGTGGACGAGCTTTGATACCATTGTACGGCTGTCCCGGGATGCGCAGTAAGCACAACAAAACTATCATCAAGTTCTAAGCCAGCCATACTCCTCAGCAGCACTTCAGCATAGATAAAAGAAGACGACGGAGAGTGTTGGAGTACACGAAATTGCTGCAGTACAATATGCATTTTAGAATCCTCCAATGTGAATCTCAAAACGTTTTCCCATGCTTCGTTTGTGTTTGTGGTGAAGGTGACGAGATTAAGCGGAGAATCGACAATAATTTTCATATCGACAAACGATCTGGAATCGAAGAGAGAATTGTGTGAACCTATGAAAGAGCTCAAATTTCCGTAAGCCACTCCACTCTGTTGCGTTTGCCATTGTTCCGCTATAAACAAAATAAGATTATGAATCAGTGCTTCCTTGTCTCCCACGATCTTTTGTAATCGGTCCAACAATTGAATTCCATGATTCAGGCGTGCTAAGAGATTATTCACAAGCTTGTTGAGCTGCGACTGCAAAGCGAGAAAATTTGATACGCAACATTGTTCTTTGTCATCTTGACCTGCCAGCTTATCACGTAACGAAGGCTTTTGGATGAGCTCAATGCAGCGGAGAGGCTCCATGGTTAAGCGACTAGAACTGCTTTTCTTGTCATTGCGTGAGCGTTTGCGGGAGTGGGTGTCATCCATCGACGTTTTTTTTTCTCGCAATCGCAGCCGATGACAACAAAGCTTTGCATATGGCGCGAAAGCTTTTTGTATGACAAGAACGCTGCGCTTAATAAGATACCAGTCATTCACATGGTGATCGCTACCCGCTTCATTCTCTGTACTGTTGCTGCTTGTTTCAACAATTGTAGATAAGTGATTCAGGAGAAGTACTTGACGAAACGCCGAAAAGTCACCTGTATGAATCCCCGCAAAGTTAGCAGCATACGCGAATCCTACATTCTTAAAAGCTTCATGCCATACAGTGATAGGTGAGCATTCTTTATAAACAGGCCTGATGCTGCCATTAAAACTCACAAAGAAGAAGATCCATAGATGATTTCTGTGCGTTGCTGGAAAACCCCAGAAAATAAAATGAGCGGTCGACATCATCACAGCGCAAACAAAGCACATGATACTGGCTTAAGACATCAGTCTCCCACATGAACCTGACAGGTGACGGATTTGTCACACTTTATAATGGTATACAATCCAGTGAATGTAGACGTACATTTCGACAGGTGGGGCAGGCAGTGCATAGGAAACGATTAAAACTCCATTTGAATGTACATGTATCGTATTGCTCGTCGTACCTGTCACAACTAAAGTTGAGACATTCACTTCCAATCGGGAAGACTGAACTTTTTGTCTGTTATCCCATAATTCGATGGCACTCGTCTCACGAGAAGCCGAGGCCGTGAAATCCCATTCGCTAAGCTCAGAAATAAAGCAACAGCATGTGATTTCATCAACTTTTGATGGTAAATAGTGACAGTGTGATACTTCGTTGTTTTCACCGTCCAAGGTCACGATGCTCCAGATGTGAGACTTCCTATCCAAAGACAGTTGGTGGACAGCAAAGAAATTATGAAATACACACGAAATCGTTTAGATATATTTACCTGTCATCATCAGCAGATAACCTGATCTTTCGTTGTGCATGGATCAGCATATGTGGTTTGGAGGCGTGTGTTCTCGACACATACGCACAAGACACCACCTGAAAGGTTTCGGGTGGAAAGCTTGTTATACTATGGGTCACGTCCACTTGTGTATACCAAACGTAAAATCCACTAATATCACCGTCAGTACCTCTTTGCAACCTTAAAATCATCACTGTTTGCGCATGGCGTTCGGAAAGTAGCACATGGGGACCATCCGATATCAAACATTGTGGCGAATTGCAAGCGTTACCAAAAACTGCTTTACTTTCGCCGTCTGGTGCTTTGTTATCATGTGTCAAATAATTCAACTTGTTCAATAAGCGCAAACCAATTACGTCATCGCTATCTGTATCAAACAATATGCAGAAGAACAGACATTCACGCCCTTCGGGTGATACGTTATCGACAAGGTGATTTGTGTATCTCCTTGTGTGTACACCAAGGTTGCGAGCTACTGACGAAGTATCGAGTGATAGTTCGTGATCACTTTCTTGTTTGCCGTGGAAAACTAGTAATGGATAGTGACTGTGACGTAGAGTAGCTACTATTAGCACTTTATTGCGCTGGCTCTATTTTTTAACACAGTGGTCGCATGCTCAAAACTTACATGGCAAGCTCAGTGTCCTCAACTTCTTTGGCGGCGACAAGACGCGCGTCTGCTGGCAGCGCGAAGGCTTCGTCGTATTTGACACGGCAAACACGAAACGAAGATTTTTTGTCTTCAGCATGAATGACAATGCGCTGAATCTGTAGCCTACCAAGCTCGCAGCGCAAGAGGAAGAGCGCATCACCCCACGCTAGAAGGTTAGTCATTTGTCAATTTTCAGGCAACAAATAGGGATGACAGGATTACTTTAGTTATTAATCTTTACGATTATGCCCGATTGCTGTTTGATGTAATTTCGGGCTTTGTGAAACTTCTTAATGCCAGCTATTTACTGGCTTTTAAAGTTTTGTCGGTGCCATGAACGCTTAAAATATCCTTCAATGTAATTTGTTTATTCAGGTACTTGCCCAAGCGGATTCCTGCTACAGAGCAGATGATTTTATAGTTTTACCAGATGTTTAAAGTACGAAGTAACTCCCAATATATCCTTACAAAATATAAATAAAGCATTATCTACCAAGATTGCGTAATGAAACTGGTGGCATATTATCAGTAATCATGATTAAAGAGTTCAGCTTCTCAAGTGCAGTACAAGTACTGAGTGTTGTCTTGACTTTGAGGTTCGATGACCGTTCCAGCGGAATCATCCTCTCCTGGTCGCCCAAGACCATCGTTGCTCTTTGGCTCGCCAGGTTTCCGCATATTACTGCTATGGCTTACACCGCTTTTAGCGTTATTGCTAGCCATGTGGGGTATCATCGGTCGATTTCTCACTCTTCCTCCTAAACCTGTAGCCACCACAGCTCTTATCATCACATGGATTTTATACCTCGTCATCCCTCACATCCCCGTGCGCCTTTTAGACTGGCCACTAGTCATTACGCTAGGCCTCGCTATTCTCTCGCACTTGCCGCGATACAACAGCTTCGTTATTCATGGCATTGTGACAACTTTACTCATACTTTACGCTATCATCCGCAAAAGCCTAGCGAGTGTCGAAGAGTCTGATGTTGCAAAGGCTGTCGTAGAAACATTCACAGTGCTCTGCTGCTTCTTTCCACTGTGGCTGTCATGTTGCAATTTGCACTTGTGGTTACCGTCAGATCTGAAAGAGCTCGAGAGAATTGAGCGAACGATATACGGCAATTTTCTTGAGACTGAATTTATGCTTTCGAAAGTCGCAGGTCTTGGAACAATTCATGTGCCATATTGTGGTGATATCAAGCTTCGACCAAAAGATTTGGTGCTTGTGCACGGTTACCTAGCAGGAAACGCGTTCTGGAGTGCTAATTTACAGGCACTTGCAAGGTGTTACAACGTGGTGCGTCCTGAGAGACATATTATCACCCCTCCAGGCCTTGTATCTTATTGTTAAGGTGGGTTTTTGTAGTTTGCCGTAGAGTGGAAAGGAATTGGGCGGTCAGACCGCCCGAAATGGCATCCAAAGACGGAGAAAGAAATGGATGACTTTTTTGTTGAATCGCTGGAAGATTGGAGATCTGAACTTCATCTTGACCACTTTATTCTTTGTGGTCATTCGATGGGGGTGCGTTTTCACGTGGTCATGCGATATTGATGCTTAAGCTGACTTTATGATGACGTTAACAATCAGGCCATGTATTGTAGCTATTATGCGGAAAAATATCATCAACGTATCGAGCATCTAATTCTTGTCTCTCCAGCTGGAGTTAACAGCAGCGAAATTAAGCAAGAAAATCTTCCTTTGCTTCTGAAGTTTACATCGTTGTTCTACATAACTCCAATGGTACGCTATACTACCTGTCATCAATTGCCTGGGCAACTAATATTTGTTGCCTGTAGAGTATAATTCGATTTGCAGGTCCCTTGGGTCCGAAAATTGTTCGATGGTCGTGGCGAAAACGCATCAAATGGACACCAGCAACAAACATTGTTCGGTCTGGAGAGGTAGATTTTGGCCTTATAACGGATTATTGCTACCACAATTGGGCCCTCCAAGCATCAGGTGATATCGCGTTTTACACCCACTTGCACCCGGTACATTTCTAAACGTCGGCTTTCTAATTAGTCGCGCAATAGCTGACAAAAGAATTGCTATATTTAGGGAGCAAGTGCGAGACGCCGAGCGTTAGACAGTGTTCTTACTGCGGATACATTTCACGTTCCATTAACCATCATATACGGTGGCGGTATGGATTGGATGAATTCAAAATATGGCGAAGCAGTTGTCCGTCAGCTGGAAAGGACTCAGTATGCGGTTTTTCGTCTGGTGCCAAGTTCAGGCCACCAGGTGTTTATGGACGATCCTAACGAATTTAACCAAATACTTGTTCGGGCGGTACGTGACCAAGAGCATGCGGCGGCTGCACCACGTAATTTATAGCCAACTGGTATAAAGGCTGTTATTGTCATCTCAATAGATTTTTTTCCATTTGAGTACAAGTGTGACATATGCAGTAATCTCTCTTTCGCCAGCTCACTAATGTTTCTCTCATGATTATCTAACACGTTTCTACACTAAAAGAATTTTATAGGTTAAGTCAGTTGATCGTACATGTGGAGACCTCCATGCCATGACATCATTGAAACAAAACGGTGGGAAGCACTTTTCATTCTGCTACCAATAGCGCTCAGAGTTTGCGGTCATTGTTAAAATGACGAGTCTCAGCGAAGACGAGTGGAGCTTGGTCAGTGACAATCAAGAAGTGTTATCCGAAGTGAGCTTTGACGAAGTAAACGAAGGATCTGAAGTTCATGAAACGTCTAATTATGAAGTATCAAAAGTCAGAAAAGAGCCTTTAGATAATCAAGACGAAGCGCTGGCTTCTGAAGAAGATACAAATGAGGTGCTTTCGCTTCTTGCTGACTCAATGTTATCAGAGAGATCAAGTTTTTCGAAAAAGAATTCTCTTTCGTTGCTTTCGAAGGCTCACCGAAAGCGGTTCGCTGGCTTTTCTCCACACTATGCATCTAATCACCGCAAGACCAAGAGTTCATACCCTGAGCGCTTGCGAGCTATCACTTCAGCCTCGCGCTCACCTGAAGAAGTTGAGCACCTGAAGTACAATGTGCTTACATCTTCAAAGCAGGACCAGTCAACTCAAGTCAATCTCAATGTTGTTCCTGAGCAACCAGAATACACTGTTGTCACAGCTTTTCAACCAAATTGTTTTGTACGAGGCGTCTTTATAGCACAGCCAAAAAATTTAAGCGTGACACGTTTTAAACAAGACCAGTCTACTCAAGTTGACTTGGACGATATGGAGGTAAGTTCGCTTGAAAATCGTAAAGTGCTATCTTGTGAAGCTCCTGTACGATCACTGGAGGCAACGAACAAGGTTCATGCCACGTTTCAGGACAATGAACGTCTTTCGCTTTGTATTGCAGAATTAAAAAGTGTGGCGGTCCAAATTGAGCAAAAAATTCTGCTTCAAGAGCAGATGATCGGATTGTTTGAGCGCAGTTTGACTTTGGTCGAACCCTTTACCAGTCTCACTACTGGTAATCAAGATAATCCGCAGACAGTTGCGAATAATCTCAGACAAGCAAATGCTCATTTGAAATGTCAGATAGCGCTTCTGCGTGGGGATGGTAAAGTCTTAGCTACCTACAGCTTAGCCGAGCTTGAAGAAGTAGAGACTATGCTGACACAAGCTATGGGGAGCATTCGTGGCATCATTCGAGATAAGTACCGATCAGCTGTGGAGAAGCATGATACGAACAATTTGCCTTGAATTTCAATATTGGTAGCTGTACCCTCTCGTCGGCATCAATTTAAGTGTATGCATCGAGTGCGATCAGCTGCTTCATCAACCGCAAAAAAATCAAAGTGAATTTCGGATTTCTCAAGACAGCGTCTACTGCAGCTGGGAATTATCTTTTGATGCATTTTCTTTAATACAGATATATTGTTTGGCAACTTAGTCAAACATGCCGTTGTAAAATTGCAGCAATTTTTGACGACTCTTTTGACTCTGTAAATCAGCGGCCGATCGAACCAATTTGCGCTTGATTTTTTTTCCTGAGATCGCACTGCGAATGGTGTCCGAGTCTGATGATGAATCTTCGTTCTTATCGTACTCATTTCGATATCTGCGATGACCCTGTTTATGCTTCTTCTTTTTCTTGGGTTTCTTCGAGCTGGATTCGCGGTGATGCCTTTTATCTTCATTTTTGCCATGCTTCTTTTTCAATTTTAGGCATTCCGATCTGATCCTTTTCTTTCTGCTGCTATCACTTGAGTCTGATGAAGACAATCTGCTCCTGTCCGAAGACGACGAAGATACGGAGACACTGCGCTCGCGTCTCTGCCTGCGGTTACGATTTGGCGGCGATTTTGGGCGCCAGTGCTTTCGATCTCTAGTTTCGCTGTCACAGCGGGAAAATTCATTCGCATCAGAGCATTTTCGCGGCAGAATAACAGAAACGAACTGACCTCGTGGTAGATCGCTCGTTTGATCGAGCGCGGGAGCGCGATCGGTCCCGTGAACGCTTAAAGGTCTTGCTGTCTATTTAGGTCGTGTACCATTCATGTCCTAGTCGCTATCAGTATGATTATGGCGCAAGGGTATGCAGCCGTACCGTACCAAATCGTCGGCCATAACGAGTCATTCTTGATTATCAGGAATCCCTAACAGATTATGTGCATAACCACGATACTAAAATCAAGATAAAGTATCTTGGGGCACTTTTATCATACAGAAGTGTTCTCAAATTTTAAAAACGTCCCAGTTTACTTTTTTGTGAAGCCATTCATTATACGTGCATTATACGGCACAGGCCATCACCGTACAGAGAAATTAGGTATTGTGACGTACCTGACCAGAGAGGTTGCAGATCCTGTCGAATTACGATCGGTTTGCTCGTGGAGGAATTTTTCACTTGAGAAATGGTTGAAGTGATAAATATTTCGCGAACGAACGCTTTCAGATCACCTCATGGTTGCATTAGCTATGGAGCTGTCGCGTTTGTGCCACTCCATGCAGCAAGACGCGCTTCCATCGGATGTCCTTAGGTGATGGTGAACCGCTACGCCCTAAGCCGCAAACATGACCTTGAGACAACGCACATTCAGTAAATCCTCACTGTTTAGCTTACAGTTGAGT